AGGGTGCCTGTTTCTCCACACACTCGGCAGCATCTATAGTCTCCTCATTCGTTAATTTTAGCCACTCTGATGGCATTAGGTGGTATCTCAGTGTGGTTTTTATTTGTATTTCCCTGATGAGGAGGGACGCTGAGCATCGTTTCATGTGTCTGTTGGCCATCTGGATGTCCTCTTCAGAGAAGTGTCTGTTCATGTCTTCTGCCCATTTCTTCACTGGATTATTTGTTTTTTAGGTGTGGAGTTTGGTGAGTTCCTTATAGATTTTGGATACTAGCCCTTTATCTGATATGTCATTTGTAACTATCTTTTCCCGCTCCGTCAGTTGCCTATTAGTTTTATTGATCGTTTCCCTTGCCATGCAGAAGCTTTTTATCTTGATGAGGTCCCAATAGTTCATTTTTGCTCTTGATTCCCTTGCCTTTGGGGATGTGTCAAGTAAGAAGTTGCTGCCATTGAGGTCAAGGAGGTTGTTTCCTGCTTTCTCCTCTACGGTTTTGATAGTTTCCTGTCTCACATTCAGGTCCTTTATCCATTTTGAGTTTAGTTTTGTGTATGGTGTGAGACAGTGATCTAGTTTCATTCTTCTGCATGTTGCTGCCCAGTTCTCCCAGCACCATCTGTTAAAGAGGCTGTCATTTTTCCATTGGATACTCTTTCCCGCTTTGTCAAAGATTAATTGGCCGTACATTTATGGGTCCAATTCTGAGTTCTCTGTTCTGTTCCATTGGTCTATGTGTCTGTTTTGTTTCAATACCATACTGTCTTGATGATTACAGCTTTGTAGTAGAGGCTAAACTCCAGGATGGTGATGCCTCCCGTTTTGGTTTTCTTCTTCAGTATTACTTTGGCTATTCGGGGTTTTTTGTGGTTCCATACAAATTCTAGGATAGTTTGTTCTAGCTTTCAGAAGAATGCTGGTGCAATTTTGATTGGGATTGCATTGAATGTGTAGATTGTTTTGAGTAGTAATGACATTTTAACAATATTTATTTCTGACCCATGAGCATGGAATGTTTTTCCATTTCTTTGTGTCTTCTTCAATTTCCTTCATAAGTTTTCTATAGTTTTCATCACACAGATCTCTTATATCTTTGGTTAGGTTTATTCCTATGTATTTTATGGTTTTTTGTGCAATTGGGAATGGGATCAGTTTCTTGATTTCTCTTTCTGTTGCTTTATTATTGGTGTATAAAAATTCATCCGATTTCTGTACATTGATTTTGTACCCTGCAACTTTGCTGAATTCATGGATCAGTTCTAGTAGGCCTCTGGTGGAGTCTGTTGGGTTTTCTATGTAGAATATTATGTCATCTGCCAAAAGTGAAAGTTTGATTTCTTCTTTGCCAATTCTGATGTGTTTTATTTCCTTTTGTTGTCTGATTGCTGACCCTAGGACTTCCAGCACTATGTTAAACAACAGTGGTGAGAGTGGACATCCCTGTCGTGTTCTTGATCTCAGGGGGAAAGCTCTCAGCTTTTCCACATTGAGGATAATGTTAGCTGAGGGCTTCTCATAGATGGCTTTTATGATGTTTAGGTAAGTTCCTTCTATCCCGAATTTCTCAAGGGTCTTTATTAAGAAAGGATTCTGTATCTTGTCAAATGCGTTTTCTGCATCTATCGACAGGGTCATATGGTTTTTATCTTTTTTTTTTTTGTTGATGTGATGTATCACATTGATTGATTTGCGAATATTGAACCAGCCCTGTAACCCAGGAATGAATCCCACTTGATCATGGTGGATAATTCGTTTTATGTACTGTTGGATTTGATTTGCAAGTATCTTGTTGAGGATTTTTGCATCCATATTGATCAACGATATTGGCCTGTAGTTCTCTTTTTTTGCTGGGTCTCTGTCTGGCTTGGGAATCAAAGTGATGCTGGCTTTGTAGAATGAGTCCAGAAGTTTTCCTTCCATTTCTATGTTTTGGAATACCTTGAGAAGAATGGGTATTAACTCTGATTTAAATATCTGGTAGAATTCCTGAGGGAAGCCATCTGGCCCAGGGCTCTTATTTGTTGGGAGATTTTTGATAACGGATTCAATTTCTTCACTAGTTATGGGTCCGTTCAGATTTTCTATCTCTTCCCATGTGAATTTTGTTAGTGTGTGTATGTTTAGGAATTTGTCCATTTCTTCTAGGTTGTCCAGTTTGTTGGCATATAATTTTTCATAGTATTCCCTGAGATTGCCTGTATTTCTGAGGGATTGGTTGTAATAAATCCATTTTCATTCATGATTTTGTCTATTTGGGTGCTCTCTCTTTTCTTTTTGAGAAGCCTGGCTAGAGGTTTGTCAATTTTGTTTATTTTTTCAAAACAACAACTCTTGGTTTCATTGATCTGTTCAACTGTGTTTTTTTGATCCTATATTGTTTATTTCTACCCCGATTTTTATTATTTCACTTCTTCTGCTGAGATTGGGGTGCTCTTGTTGCTCTCCTTCTACTTCCTTTAGGCACGCTGTTAGATTTTGTATTTGTGCTTTTTCTAGTTTCTTGAAATATGCCAGGAGTGCAATGTACTTTCCTCTTAGGACTGCCTTTGCCGCATCCCAAAGAGTTTGGATTGTTGCATTTTCATTTTCATTTGTTTCCATATATGTTTTAATTTCTTCTCTAATCACCTGATTGGCCCATTCATTCCTTAGTAGGGTGTTCTTTAACCTCCAGGTTTTTGGAGGTTTTTCAGACTTTTTCCTGTGATTGATTTCAAGTGTCATAGCACTGTGATCTGAAAATGTTCATGGTATGATCTCCTTTCTTTTATAATTTTTGAGGGCTGCTTTATGTCTCAGTATGTGATCTATCTTGGAGAATGTGCCATGCGTACTTGAGAAGAAAGTGAATTCCATGGCCTCAGGATATAGAGTTCTAAATATATCTGTCAAATCCATCTGGTCCAATGTGTCATTCAAGTCCATTGTTTCTTTAGTGATTTTCTGTCTAGTTGATCTATCCATTGCTGCAAGTGGAGTATTAAAGTCCCCTGCTATTAGCACATTCTTATCCATAAGATTGCTTCTGTTTGTGATTAATTGTTTTATGTATTTGGGTGCTTCCGTATTTGGTGTGTAGACACTTATAATTGTTATCTCTTCCTGATGGATAGACCCTGTAATTATTATATAATGCCCTTCTACATTCCGTGTTACTGCCTTTACTTTAAAGTCCAGGTTGTCTGATATGAGTATGGCTACTCCAGCTTCCTTTTGACTTCCCATAGCATGATAGATATTTCTCCATCCCCTTACTTTCAATCTGAAGGTGTCCTCAGGTCTAAAGTGAGTCTCTTGTAGTCAGTAAATAGATGGTTTTTGGGTTTTTTTTTTTTCCCTCCATTCTGCTACCCTAGGTCTTTTCATTTGAGCATTTAGTCCATTTACATTCAGTGTTATATTGAAAAATATGGGTTTAGAGTCATTGTGTTCTCTGTAGGATTCATGCTTGTGGTGGTGTCTCTGGTATCTTGTGTTCCTTGCAACATTTCCCTCATAGAGTCCCCCTAGGATTTTTTGCAAGGCTGGTTTAGTGGTGATGAATTCTCTCAATTTTTGTTTATTTGGGAAGACTTTTATCTCTCCGTCTATTCTGAATGACAGGCTTGCTGGATAGAGGATTCTTGGCTACATATTTTTTCTGTTCATCACATTGAAGATTTCCTGCCATTCCTCCCTGGCCTGCCAAGATTCAGTAGATAGGTCTGTAACTACTCCTATAGGTCTCTTTGTATTTTAGGGCCCTTTTATCCCTAGCTGCTTTCAGAATTCTCTCTTTGTCCTTATATTTTGCCAGTTTCACTATGATATGTCATGCAGAAGATGGATTCAAGTTACGTCTGAGGGGAGTTCTTTGTGCCTCTTGGATTTCAATGTCTGTTTCCTTCCCCAGATTGGGGAAATTCTCAGCTATAATTTGTTGTTCAAGGACTCCTTCAGCACCTTTCCCTCTCTCTTCCTCTTCTGGAATTCCTGTGATACAGATATTGTTCCGTTTGATTGAATCACTCAGCTCTGGAACGCTCCTTTCCTGTTCCTGGATCAGTTTATCTCTCTTTTTCTCGGCTTCCTCTTTTTCTACAATTGTGTCTTCTATTTCACCTATTCTCATCTCTGCCTCTTCAATCCATGCATTGGACATCTCCATTTTATTATGCACCTCATTTATAGCAGTTTTTAATTCATCACAACAATTTTTAAGCTCCATAGTCTTTGTAGAAATAGCTTCTCTGATGTCTTCCATCCTTTTTTCAAGCCCAGTGATTAATTTTATTACTATTGTTCTAAATTCTTGTTCAGCTATGTTGCTTATATTTGTGTTAAGCAGCTCTTTAGCTGCCATTTCTTACTGGAATTTCTTTAGAGGAGAGTTCTTCCGTCTAGTCATTTTGGCTAGCTTTCTATCTCTTGTCAGTTTTAAAAGCTTGCTATGTGCTCTGCACCTGTGAGTACTGCTGTATTAAGGAAGGCTCATTGACTGTCCAGAGCCTGTCCATTCAGGAAGTGTTCTTTTAATGGTGTGTCTTGGTCTCTCTTGTTGAAACTTTGGTTATTTTATTTCACTGTTTGTAGTGGTATTTGGGACTCTCCACCTTGTGTACTTTGGCTTGTTTCTTGTGATAGCCCTGGAAGAGAAAACAGACAGACAAGCATACAGGGAACAAAGGCATGCAAACGCACAGACAAATCCAACAAAAGAGGAAACTGAAAGGAAAAAAGAAAAAGAAAATAATAATAATAATAATAATAATAATAAGAAGAAGAAGAAGAAGAAGAAGAAGAAGAAGAAGAAGAAGAAGAAAAACAAAGAAGGGGGAAAAAACCCAAAAGACAAAGGACAGTTTAAAAGTATAAAACCAGAATTCCCAGCTACAAATAGATAGTAGGATGTATGCAGTGCTGATGGAAGAGCATATACACAGAGAGAAATGTCAAGGCGGGGAGAAAGCAAAATTGGAGAATGACCAGAAAGAGAGACTAAGAAGCTTAATTCAGAGAGAAAGAGGAGAATATGGTAGGAACTTTGGCCTATTTATAAACTGGTTTATGTTCTTACTATTAGTTTTGAGAGTTATGTATGTTTTCTGATTACAAGTCTTTGCTGGATATGTGATTTACAATTATATTCTCCCACTCTGTACCTTGCCTTTTTATTCTCTTTACAGCTGTCTTTCACAGAGCAAAATTATTAAAATTTTGGTCCAGTCCAATTTATTAGTTTTTTCATGTATGGATTATGATTTTGGTGTCATATCTAGGAACTCTTTGCTTAACCCTAGATAATGAAGACTTTTTCCTGTCTTTTATTTAAAAAGTTTTAAAGTTGTAAATTATACATTTAATCTATGACCTTTTTTGAATTAATTTTATTTAAGGTGTAAAGTATAGATAAAGTTTATTTTGTTTAATATGAACGTACAACAGTTCCAATGTCATTTTGAGAAGACAGGTCTTTCTCCATTGTTTTTGCATTTGTCAAAAATCAAATTATGATGTTTTCTCTGAATGTTTTTGAACCCCTTATTTTGTTCCATTGATCTCTATATCTATTCCTTGTGAATACACAGTATCTTGATTGTTGTAGATTTATAGCAAGTCTTAGAATTGGGCAGAATTATTCCTCCTTTCATTTTCAAAACTGTTTTAACTATTCTATTTGTTTTGACTTTCTATATAGATTCTAGAATGAGCATTAACTATGTGTATTTAAAAATTCTGCTGGTATTTTTATTTTAATTAGGTATAATTGACATCTTCATTATTCATCTTCCAATTCATGTACAAGGTATGTCATTCTATTTATTTAGGTCTTCTTTGACTTTTTTCCCCAGGATTTCATAGTTTTTAGTATACTGATCTTATACCTATTTTGTTAGATTTATACCTAAGTATATGTATTTTTAAATGGTTATAATTTTTTTAATTTCAATTTTCTGTTTTACATTATTAGTTTATAGAAACACCATTGGCTTTTGCAGGTAGACTACAATCTTACTAAATTCACTTGTTATTCCTAGGAAGATTTTGTTGGATTCTTTGGGATTTTCTACATAGACAATCATGCCACCTGTGTGATTTATTTCTTCTTTTTTATTATGTATGCTTTTTAATTTTCTTTGTCTTATTGCACTGACTAGGACTTTTAATACAATGTTGTATAGAAGTAGTAAGACTTGTCATACATAGTTGCCTTGTCCTCTATCTTGGTATGGCAGGCAAGCATTTCATATTTCACCATTAAGCAAAATGGTAGATGTGGATTTTAGTGTAAGTGCCTTTTGATTTATTTACTGATTTTAATTTTATTAATATATTTCACAGTTTTATTAGACTTTTTTAAAAAAGTAATCTCTGCACCTAACACGGGACTTGAACTCATGACCCTCAGATCAAGAGTCACATACTTTACTGACTGAGCCATCCAGGAGCCACAACTTAGGTGCCTTTTCAAAAAAAATTTTTAATGTTTATTTATTTTTGAGAATGAGAGAGACAGAGCATGGGTGGGGGAGGAGCAAAGAGAGAGGGAGACACAGAGTCCAAAGCAGGCTTCAGGCTCTGAGCTGTCAGCACAGAGCTTGATGCAGAGTTTGAACTCACGAACCTCAAGATCATGACCTGAGCCGAAGTTGGATGCTCAACCGACTGAGCCACCCAGGAACCTCTAGGTGCCTTTTCAAAGAAAATTCTTTTCTATTTCTAGTTTGCTTAGGTTTTTAAAAATTATGAATAGATAAAAATTTGTCAAATGCTTTTTCTGTGTTGATTGATATGGCAATGGTGTTTTTCTTCTTTAGACTATCGATATGGTAGATTATATTGATTGAGTTTCAAATATCAAAGAAGCCTTCCATTCCCAGGATAAGCCCCGTTTGGATATGGTATATTATTCATTGTATTATTTCTGCATTAAGTTTCCTAATATTTTGTTCAAGATTTTTGCGTCTTTTTATGAGCAATATTGTGTCTATAGTTTTCTTCTTGTATTATCTTCCTCTGGTTTTGTTATCAGTATAGTTTTGGCTTCATAAAATGATCTATAAAGGGTTCCTTCCTTTTCTGTTTTCTGCTAGATGTCATATGAAGTTGACAATATTTTTCTTTAGATGTCTCGTAGAGTTTGCCAGTAAAACCATTTGATCCTGAAGATTTTGTTTTTTCAAAAAAATTTTAAGTAAAACTTTAATTTATTTTGTAACGTTAGGATAGTTTGGGTTCAGTATTCCATCTTAGGTTTTAGTTATATCAGTTTGTGGACTTTGAGAAATTGGTCATTTCCTCTAAGTTGTTGAATTTATATGCAGAGGATTATTCCTAGTATTTCCTTATTATCCTGTCTTCAGGGTCGGTAGTGATAGCCTTCCTTTTATCTGATATTGATAATTTGTGTTTTCTCTGTTTCTTTGTAGGTCTTGCTAGAATTTTATCAACTTTAGTGTTCACAAAGAATCAGTTTCCATTTCTTTGATTTTCCTTTTCTTTTTGTTTCATTGATTTTCTCTATGTTTGCCTATTTTCAATGTAATAATTTCTGCTTTTAAATTTTTAATTTCTTGCATTCTGCATGTTTTACATTTATTTTGCTCCTTTTTTTAGTTTTCTTAAAATGGAAGCTTAGATTATTGATTTGAGATCTTTCTTCTTTTCTATTAAAGACATTTAATGCTGTAACTTTTCCTCTCAACACTGCTTCAACTGCATACCACAAATTATGATGTAATACTATTGTTTCATTTCAGTTCAACACGTGTTCTAATTTAGTAATTACTTTTTGACCCAAGGATTTTGAGAAGTATGCTGTTTTATTTCCAAGTGCTTGGAAATATTCTTGTTTTCTGTCCGTTATTGATTCCTAGTTTAATTTCATTACGGTCAGAGAATATATTTTGTGAAATTTCAGTCTTTTTAAATGTCTAATTTTGTTTTATGGCCCAAGATATGGTCTACTTTGGTGAATGTCCTGTGTGCACTGGAAAAGAATGTGTATTCTGGTGTTCTTGGTTGGAGCATTCTATAAATATCTATTAAATCCAGTTAGTTGGTGCTGTTGCTCCATTCCTTTATAACCTCACCCTTGCTGGTTTTCACTCCACTAGTTCTATCTCTTATTGAGAGAGGAATGTTAAAATATCCAAATATAATATTGGGTTTGCCCACTTCTTTCGTTTTGGTCCATTTTTGCTTCATGTATTTTTATGCTTTGGGGGAGGTGTATACACATTTAAGATTATTATGTATTACATCATTATGTACACTGTATTATTATGTAATGTCTCTCTTTGTCGTTGGAAATTTTCTTTACTCTGAAGTCCTTATTACCTGATAGTAGTACTGTCACTCTAGCTTTCTTTTGACTAGTATTGACATGATATATATTTTTCCCATCCTTTTACATTAAACCTATCTGTATCATTAGAGTTGAGTTTCCTGTACTTCCACAGCTGCATCTGCGTCCAAGGTCAAGTGGTGGGAGGATAGAGAGAGAAAAAAATCTTGTGACAGTTGGTTTCACTCTCTTAGAATGGCAGCTTCCCTGAGAGAAAGAAAGGCTCCCTCCTGCAAAATTTTGAACCCTGTAGGCTCTTATTAATGGCCAAGGCCATTGCTGTCATGGATTGCTTGGGATGGAACACAGAGAATGGAGAAAGGAGAGAGAAGAAAAATGGAGAACAATTCCTACAGTCTCTCTTAGCAGTATGAGTTCCCCTTCTAAGAACTAGTGTTTGAGAGCCAGAGTGTTTCTCCTGAAGCTGTCTTTGCACCCTGATATCCACTATGGTTTGGCTAGAGAATACTGAGGGGATGGCAGAGATAGTAAACTCCTTGCTGATGCTGTGGAACTTTCAGATCTGTTCATCATCGTCATCCCCCTGCTACGATTTATTTTCCAAGGTCCTCAAATAGCTAGTTCATGCATTTTGTCCAGATTTTATTCAGTGTAAGCAACAAGGCAAGATGTTTTTGCTCCATCATATCCAGACTCATAATTTTACATACCCTTTTCCTTTAAAATTATGTTATTCTTGTTCAAGGATTCAACAATGGAGAATAGTTAACTTAGTTCTTCTAGAATGCTGTCTCAAGCCTGCTGTCCGCAAGCCTTTTCCATGTTGAATCTGGTCCTAGGTCTCACTGTCCTTTGTTGAGTTTTAAGTCAGTACATCCTATGCGAGTGGTCAGGATTGTCCTTGTTTGAACTTTGAGATTCTCAGTGACACCAGGCACTGCCTCTCACAGATTCCTTCTTCTTGCACTCTTCCCATGCCTTCCATACTTCCACAGTCTCCAACTGCTCCTTAAATATGGCCTTCTCTGGGTCTAGGTTGCAGACTCATTGTTCTTTTCCTAGGTAATCTCATCCCTCAGCTTACCATTAGCTTGCTTATGGTTTTTAAGTACTTATCTGTAGTCCAGAGTTTCCTCCTGAGTTCACATGCATATAATTGCTCTCTGGACATTTCTGCTTCCATATATTTGTAGGCACCACAAACTCACATTTCTCTATCTCAATAAAGACACTCCTATGTATTCAGTCACCCACTAAAAACAAAATTACCCTTGAAACCCCACTGTTGGTTTTCTCCCCAAATATTAACTCAATCACTGAATTAATAATAATTATTCTCCTCCTTCTACTACTTGTCCTTCTCCTCCTTCTTCTACTACTATTACTACTACTTCTTTTTCTTTTTCCTCCTCTTCATCCTCCTCCTTCTCCTCCTCCTTCTGGTCAATTCCTGTGTCTCCCCCCCCCNTTGCAGATTTGTGAAACAGCAAATAAAAAGTAAGTAGTTACTGATGAGGCTTTGGAATGGTGGAGCTTAGGAAGTGATGGCAAAGAAAGCCCCCCCCCCCCCCCACCCAGTGCACAAAGGTGCTTTTATTAAAGCACAGGGACAGAACCTGTGGGCAGAAAGAGCTGCACAGTGATTGTGAAGAGTCATTGATTATATACTTTTAAGTTGGCAGATGTTGAGACAAAGGGAGTCTCTAAAAGGACATTCATATGTTAAAGAAAACTTACAGGATCCTAGAGGTCTGGCTGTTGTCAAACTAAGGTTGCATTTTGCCTGTAGCAAAGCATTAACACTAAGGCAGCCAGGAGTTCCTTGAGGAATGTCACACTCTGTGTCTCAGATATTTATCAATCCAGGTCAAGTCTTAAGGGAATTAAATTTTATCTATGTTTCTTTTGCCCTTGTTTTCCTCATCATCCCCCCACCCCCCTCCCCAACAAATTTGATGCTTAATCTTTAAGGTTGCTGAAGGTGGAAGTTCTTATCTTTTGTAACTTCTTCCTACTTAATAGGGGCATAGAGATGTCTCTACTTATAGGTCAACATTGGTCAACTGGGGAGTTTATATATCGGAGTTACAAAAGGCAGAGGCAGCTGAATCCAAGATAGACAACAAATATGAATCATCTTGAGTAGAAAGGATCATCGGTTGGCTGGATTAATCTCTGCTTCATTCCACTACTGCTACCTAGTCTGGGGCTATTCTTCTGTTAACTAAAATATTTTACTTGGTACCTTTGCACTTACTCTTCCTTCATTCCAATCTATTTTCTTGTATAGTTAGGGAATCTTTCAGAAATATACATTTTATCTGGTCATTCCCTCAAGTTTTGTAAAATGTTCAATTTCTCTAACGCTTCATTTCTTAAGGTTTTTAACAACTTACTGTGTCATCCTCAATATCTCTCAATCTCTCTGTATTAGTTTCCTGTTGCTGCATAACAAATTACCCTAAAACTTAACAGGTTAAAACCATACACATTTACCATTTCTCAGTTTGTGTGTGTCATAAATCTGGGCATGGCCTAGCTGGGACTCTACTTCAAGGTGTCTCATAAGGCTTCAATTGAAGAGTTGGCCTGGGCTGGGCTCTTAGATGAAGGCTCATCTGAGGAGGGATTTGTTTCCAAACTCATTTACATGACTGTTGGCAGAATTCCATTGCACTGAGGGCCTCAGTTCTTTCCTGACTTTTGGCTAGAAGCCTCCTCCTTCACATGGACCTCTCCAGCATGCAACTTACTTCATCAAAGTCAGCAGGAGAGAGTCTCATGGCAACACAGGAGTCACATCTTTTTTACTTAACCAAGAAAGTACGATCCTATCACCTTTGTCATTTTCTGTTGGTTAAGAGTAAGTCCAAAGTGAGGTCCAGCTCACTGCCCATGGGAGGGTCAGGTGTGGATCGCAGAGTGCTATCTGAAAAGTCATTCTACCACATCTAGTACCTTCTTTTCTGCATCTCCTCTCTTAATGTCTCTGTGCTGCTTTCTGAATTGTCCTTTAAATGTTTCCAATTTATTAAATCTCTGTTCACTGGTGTCTAGACTACCGTATAACCTATATATTGAGTTTCATCAATTACTATATTTTTTGTTTCTATGATTTCCACTGAGGATGAAATATGCCTATTCTCTTTTCCTTAAATCCTTTATTGTTATTTTCTTCTTTTAACTCTGGGTGTTTTACATCAACTTATTTTAAAGCCTCCTTTATTTTTCTCTTTTATTTATTCTTTCTTAGATCAGAATCTTCCCACTTAGTTCATCTTCTGACTGTCTCTCATGGAAGTAATCTCAGTGTGCTTTGTAATTTTTAAGATCTATGAATGTGTCTTCAGTGGGATTTATCTTCCATGGTAACACATGAAAGTTGCATTTATATGCTTATTTCTAGAGACATCACTATGAGAGTGATTTTTCAGTGCCTGTAATAAATACAGATTCAAAAACATTTCCTTAAGTTTTTCTCTCTTCCTTGGTTTTTCTCCTATTCTATTACCGTTCCTTCTCACTTATCTTTGCTGGCTCCTTCATTCAGCTCCCTGACTCAAAATATTAGAATTCTACAGTGCTCTGTCCTATATCGCCTTCTCTTCATCATCAATATCCAGTCACTTGGCTTTAAATTGTATGTGTATTGGATGATTCACAAATCCCTCTTTCTCTCTCCAACTATGAACTACAGACTTAATTATTAAAGTTTTAATTCACCAGTTTGATATTTAGTAGGCATCTCAATCTTAACATTACTGAAATGTTTAGTTGAGTGTATTCATAAAGCTGAACTGAAGGGGGGTAATAGAGAGGTGGTATTTGAAGATAGAGAAGACAAAATTAGTTCCAGAGACTAGGACAGAGGGCCTCAGCCTCAGAGTTTGAATGTGAGAAGAATTTAGTTATAAATCCAGATTCCTGGGCTACACTCCATAGATTCTGCCATAGTTGTTCTAGGCTGGGATCTAGGACTCTGCATCTTAATATCCCAGGTGATTCTGATGCAGGGATCTAAGCAAAACACTTTGAAAAACCTTTTCCTACCTGATGGTTATAGTGGGTCTCCTAATACTATGCTGCCTACTTGGTTCTTATTACTTAAGGACAGGGCAAGAGTAAGTTTTTCATATACACAACTGGATACAGCTGGGAAATTTTAATTGTGTTACAATTAGACTTAAAATTATATTTTTTCACCTTTCCTTGTAGGCCAGTTTTAGCACAAGAGACATCTGTTAGTTGGACTCACCTATTTTATTTAAATAAAGTGACTCTAACAAGGGTTTGCTATGATTGATAGCATATAGAAGGAAAGATTAAAGATCTTTCTTCAGTTCTACATTGTGTAACTGTCTCAGTTCTACATTTATCTCTCCTTCTCATAAATCTGCATTCTCTGATCTTCTAAGCTGCTTATTTCTTTCTTATTGAAATTCTCCAGGGGCGCCTGGGTGGCTCAGTCAGTTAAGTGTCTGATTTTGACTCGAGTTATGATCTTGTGGTTTGTGAGTTCAAGCCCCGCGTCAGGCTCTGTACTGACAGCTCAGAGCCTGGAGACTACCTCTGATTCTGTGTCTCCCTCTTCCTGCCCCTCCCCTGCTCATGCTCTCTCTCTCAAAGAATAAATAAGCATTAAAAAAATTTAAAAGAAATTCTCCATTCCTCACTATTTTACCTTTTACTTTCTAAGTCTTTCTAAACTTGTCTTTTTGCATGCTAATCTGTATTTAACATGCTTGTTTCAGTGGTGCTATCATGGCAGATATAGTTTTCATGATACTAAAACTCTTTTTTTATAGATACCTCTTTATTGGTAGGAGGGCCAGTCTCTCACGTGAGAAACCCAAATTCATTCAAGCATACAGTATGCCTTTCCCAAAACAAGAGACCATATTTAAGTGAGGAGTATTAAGAAAGCCAACTAAGATAAAAATAGTATGCCCATTTTATATCTTAACTCCAAGTTGACCACTTCTTTATTGCACTTCACAGTATCAGATTGAGTTCTCAAAGAGGGGAGGGAGAAAAGTGTTTACTTTTTACAAGTATAGAAGCTCTTCCAGAACACTATGATATTATTGAGTAAATTACTTTTATGAGACTGATGTGCTACCTACTGTGCTAATGAGGCACCTTGAGTAAATTGCTTTTAGTAAAATTCTAAATGAACATCTTGTGGCTGGAAAGTCAATATACATCTAAATCATTTTAGCACCAATCTCCATTAATAAAACACTGTAAGAATAATAACATTGAAGTACCCTATTCTGAATTTCATAATATTATATGTGTTCCTAATGATAGTTTCATTTCCAAATCTGAGGCACTCTTATCAGAGAAACAAAATTTACAATTATTTCAAGGTCATCACTGCCTAATCATCATCTTTGGAAAATTATGGTAGCATGATTGCTTTTTAAAGGTTAGAGTCTATTTAGCAAACTCAAGATTGAAGATATTATGATTAGTATCTATTACTATTTCAGAATTGACATGAAATATAATTGTGATTTGAATGATCTGAAAGGTTAAAGTCACTGGTACCCAAAGATGATTCCCAAACTGTTGCACCATGGAGGAAAGCACTTAGGCTGACTTAAAAATAATCTGTCTTTATATCCCTAAGTGAGAGCTGAAAGCATATTGTTAAGACAGAATTGTTGAAGATGCTAGAAATATATGCTGGTCACAAAAGGCTTGATGGAGGGCAAAAGCTGTAAAAACTAGCAATTCCTTTACTACAATAAGAATTCTAGGCACCCAGAATTCTTATAAAAAGAGGTAGGTAATTTTCTAAAGGCAGAATTTATACTGCTTATTGTTGCCATAGACATACCAAAGGAAAATCTGGGTGGCATTACTATCCTGGTGATATGCTTACTCTGCTTATCATCTTATATAGAAGATCTCAAGTTTGCTTGGGGCGCCTGGGTGGCGCAGTCGGTTCAGCATCCGACTTTGGCTCAGGTCATGATCACACGGTTTGTGGGTTCGAGCCCCGCGTCGGGCTCTGTGCTGACACTGGAGCCTGTTTCAGATTCTGTATCTCCCTCTCTCTCTGACCCTCCCCTGTTTATGCTATATCTCTCTCAGAAATAAATTAAAAAAAAAAAAAAGATCTTAAGTTTGCTTTTCTAACTGATGCTTGACCTAATGATATTCTTTTGGCTCACATGTACAAGTTATCTATTTCCTCCTGTGGCCAATGACAAACAGGAAAAGGAGTTAGTCAAGTCAATGGATATTTACTTAACAGAAGAAATAAAGGTGAATGTATCATGGTATCTGGACAGCCATGTTACTCAGAAGAAGAGAATGGATTTTGTTACAGAACTAGTAGTTGCTGAGTGTGCTCAGATTTCTGTCTTCAGCTTAAAATATTCTCTAAGTGTTTAAAAAATCATACATTGCTAACTATAATATAAACAAGATAAAATAAATAAAAAATAAGAATTGTATTAAAGGCTAGTGATTAAATGGAGGAAGGCTTAGACATGATATAAATGGTTATCATTTGAGGAATAGATAGGGCATCCAGGAATAGAAGCTCAAATCGGTGTTAGAACTGGGAGTATAGATAAAGGAGGAAGTTCTGGACTAAACAATGTATAAGAGTTTCTAATAAATAGGACTTTTTTACACTACACCCACTTCTGTCCACCCCAAGTCTCTGATAGGCCTTCGTACTGGCCATGTGTATATTATTTGTGGGATAATGAAGCAAGGAAAAAGGTGGAGACCAATTGACCTAAATTCTTTACAAAGCTTAAAGCTGCCTGAGGATGGGTAGTTCTTTTATCAGATATTTCTACTCATCTCACTCAATAAGGTCTTTGATTTTCATTTTTGCTTTCTTCCTGTTTCAGGTTGCTTTTCTGGAAATAATGATCAACTTTTGGCAATTAGGCAGAAGAGTGGAAAGCCAGCATTCACTTTTTACCATTCACAAGACATTCAGAAGAGCCTGGATATAGCTCCACAAAAGATGTATAAACATAGCTATCATTCCTCTTCTAAAGCTCAAATAAACAAAAACCACCAAATTGTTAATTCAGCATTTCCAAGACCTGCATATGACCCATCTCTCAATCTGCTGGCTATGGCTGGTCAAGATCTTGAAGTGGAAAACCTTCCTATCCCTGCAGCAAATGTAATTGTGGTGGTAAGTGTTGTGTTTAACTGATGCTGATGCTGCTACTTTCCTCTGTGGTTGATGCTTGGGAAAACAAAACAAAACAAAAAATAGTAGTGAATACTTATCACTGGATCTCAATGATAATTTACCACTGCACTTCTCATTCTTTGATATTTCTTTTCTTTTTTGGTACTTGATTATTGTCTGTTGAATTCCTCTTGAAAGTAAGCCCATGAAATAAGGAACCTTGTCTGTATCCTCTGTGTACAGCAAGGTGCATGGTACATAGTGGGTGCTCAATAAATATTTGAATAAAAAATTCCTTTAGGAAAGGTGTGCAGTTATAGTAGGTAATACTCTGCACTGAGCCTCTGTCTTCTGTGACAATCTGTTCAGCAGACAGGGCTTAGTCTCCGTTTATATAACTAACTAGTACCTACTGTAGATGTTCTAGCCACTCATCTTAAAATTGTAACAAATGAAGAGACCACTTAAAGGTGGGGGTGTAGAAGGGGGAAGGTAGTTTTCTGTCACTGAAATAAATAAGATGGCTTGGGAGTCACAGATGGATAATATTCCTCATATCACTGCAGAGGCACAACCCTTTATTAATCAAGATAATACAGTGGTTCCATCACTTGTATTCTCAGGGTATCTAAATCAGGCCAGAGTTTTCCAATTTATGAAAGTATCATAGTTTAAATACATGCTGAAGCCAACACCCTATATAGACTATAATCCCTCTTAAGATTAAAATCACAACAGGAGGATTCACACTAAAACTACAAGTCAGCACCTAAATGGCTGTTATTGTCTTTCTGCCCCCAAGTGTAATCAACTATGTTGACTTTTGAGGCCAAAATCATTGAACTAAACCATATTGACATTTTGACAACCTCTTTATGAACCAAATGTAATTAAGTTTAATAAACTTTTCTTCTTTTTCTTTGTTTTTTATCTGCTACACATAGGACTCTTTACTTGATATTGAGAATCAAAGATCCATTCATTGATGTTTTCAACTAGCATTGAGTATTTATTATGATCCAGTTGTCATTTGGGGAATCCAGAAATAGAAATAGATGAAAGGGAATCTCTGGTTTTGCTTGGCAAATGTCTGATGGGAAATGTCAGTAATTCAATAAAAATCATAAATTGAGAATACAAGATGAGTTCTTGTTACAAAATATGTGGGTCACTTGGCCTCCTGAAGTACTTGAACAAATTTTGTGTATTTACATGAGTAACAGATGTTCTGAAGGTGAAAGCCATGTACCCTGTCTATTCGGTGAAGATAAATGATGTTAATGGTGTGGCTGTAACTGGATGTGCCTGTGTTAATGCTAGGGCTCATGGGAGATATTTCCTCCGTGACCATCATATTCCCAGAATCATCAACTCTTAAAGTCACTGAATTGCCATTCAAGAAGTTGTTCTATCTTGTAATGTCATGTACTCTCCAGTTAATATTATGGAGGATAAAAGGCATCAATGAGGAAATCTGGCAGGTCATTTCACTTTTAACCTACTTGTGGTTTGGAGATTCATGAAGAAGCTGTGCTTTTTCTTTTGAGTGACAATTACATGGAGGAAATAGGCAAATTTGTGTATTAGCCTCCTTTAACCTCTTGTGATCTAGTCTGTAACCATGCTGTGGCTTTGGTAGCTTGCAACAATTGCTAGTGTCAGTGTTGCGTATAATCTATTGACATTACTTATGCATGTGTGATTTAGTAGGAAAGCCAGGGAAGTAAGGTTATTTTAAAATATATCAATAATGTTCTGCTTACTCAAAAAACAGAAGGTCAACACTTCATCAACTGTTAGCTGGTTTGAAGGTTCATTCTATCCAGAAAAGAGGCTTATAAATGAAGTATAGATGATGAAAGGGAGATACTCTGGTGGCTAAATCACTTTAATAGAGTAATTGATGACCATGTAGCTAAGGTGAACATGTTTTATGTGTGTATAAAATACACATGTAAATATGTAGGCTTTTCCATATATATAATGTATATATATGGAATATATGGAATATATGGAATATATATATATATATATATATATATATATATATATTGAGGAATACTGCAGTGATACCAAGGAATTATTTTATTTAATTTATACCAAAATGAGCAGCATTCATGAGTACGTTTCCTGTATTAGAGAAATAACTGGGAATTTTTTTTAAGCCAGAGTAAAAAGGCCAGTGCCAGTTTCCAAAAAGTGTATGTAACTTTTAAGACTTCTGATGAGAGGGAGAGATGACTTTTTCTCTTCCTAAATGAGAAATTTAAAAGGGACATGGAAGATGTGTGCGTCACCCCTCCTCAGATTCTCAGCTGTCTTCACAAAGCATTTTGTTAGAGGATTTGTCCACAAATGAATTTTTTCTTTTTTTTTTTCTTTCTTTTATGATCAGGAAAATTTGTAGTTTATTTATTCCAAAGAGAGAACAGTGCAATTAGAATGTTTATCCCAGAGAATGCTAATTACATCCCATAAGCTCAACTAAGATGCAGTTATTAGGATTTCTGTACAAATGCAATACAGAGGAAATATGAATGTCCTCAAGATTAGGGCTATAGTAGAAGTAAAAAAAAAAAAAAAAGGCTTTAAACAAATATTTGCTGGAAATTTCATAGTCCTATATCAGGCTGCAAGGCCACAACATCAGGTAGGAGAGAACCTAGGTGTCTGGATGAAGATGGTAGATTGGAAGCAGCTACAGGCTTTCCCAGTTTAGCAAGGTCAGCATAGGTTGCTGAGTGAAGAATATTCTAGCCTGGGGAAAATCTGAGAAAACTGAGACTAGGAAGACTTTGGAATGAATACAAAAGTTGGGACATTATGATTACTTTATGGGCTGGCCTTCATAGGAAGGAAAATAAAAGGAAGAAAAAGGAGAAGGGCCAAGAGGAAGAGGAGGAAGAGGAGGATGATGAGATAAGAAAATGGAGGGGAGATGATGGGAAGGGATAAAGTAACGGAGAAAGGAAGAAAGAGAGGGGCCCCTGGGTGGCTCAGTCAGTTGAGTGTCGGACTCTTGGTTTCAGCTCATGTCATGACCTCATGGTGTGTGGCATAGAGCCCCACATAGTCCCACATCACGCTCTGCACTGACAACATGGAGCCAGTTTGGGATTCTCTCTCTCCCTTTCTGCCCCTCCACTGCTCATATGCACACACATTCTTTCTCTCTCAAAATAAATAAACATTAAAAAAGAAAGGAAAGAGGAGAAAAAAGAAGATATAGGGCCAGTTCTTAGGGCAGAGAGAAGACCTCTGTGAGCACATAAGAAGACAATGGGGAGTTCCCAGGGACCTTCAGTGGTCTCTGTGAGTTTCCCAGACCCCCAAATCTTCTTGTATTGCTCACCCAGACCAGCACATAGACATTCTCTTGTTTTATGAAACAAACTCTCTTTGAAAGCATTTTTATAGGCAATTGACTTAGAAGACACTTAAAACCAAATGCTTTGAATAACTCTGGCTTTCAGTTACGTCCTGTGCTCTGTGTTATGTCTCACTTATCTTGGTTCTGCTATAGACCAATTTTTGAGTTTCATCTTACAAGGGAAGAGATAATTTCTAGATGTGACTTAAAGGGCTTAGAAGGTCCAGCCTTTTCACTGCTTTGACACAGTAAACAAATTTTGTAGTGTGTAGTGTATTATGTGATGTGGACATGTAATTGTCGGGACACTTTTTCAAAAGACATATTTTAATCATAATTTTGTACTTGTACAAATTAGGGAATATCCTAAAAGATGAGCTTAACTTTTGTTCTTACCATTGGAATTCTGCCATGTCAGGGAAGTTTTATTAGTTAGGAATATTTTGTGGCAAATGAGAAGAACCCAGTCCAAACTAGAGAAAATTTCATGGTTCAGGTAACATTTCTGTAGTATATGCGGATTTAGGTATGGTTTGATCAAAGACAAATAATTGGCCAGGGTCAGTCTCCCAGCTCTGCTTCCTCTGGGGCAACTTCATTCTCAGATGATTCTCTCTTGTTCATCTCTACATGGTTTCCTGAGCCTCCTGGAGTTTTGTCCTTGCAGGTTCATTTTTAGTGGGAAAGAATGACTCTTTCACAACCGTCAATAATACCCTGGACATCTCTATGACTAGTGCAATTTAAGTTAATTACTCACTTCATCCCTGACCAACTTGCAGCCAGGTGATAATATGAAGCTAATTATCTCAAACCTGAACTACATGCCCCACCCCTAGAGCATCCCTAAAACACCCACAAGCTGTTTATGGGCGGGGAGGTTACTTGAATAAAAATTGGGACACTGTTAACAAGCAAAGATAGACTAGATGTCAGACAGCAGTTAAATGTATGCTAGAGCAGAGTGTATGGACTTCAATGTCTATTAAGACACAATAGCCCCTTCGAGAAGCAATGAGAACAGGAGGACTTACAACTCGACCTCAGGAATGTGATTCTTGTACAAAATGGGTGCCTAAGTTATACTATAAACTCTCTGACAGTGGCCCACGTAGGCAGCAAATTTACTCTGACTGAAGAGAGAATTCAGGTGCCTGGGCTATGTCCAAACACCCAGACTGTTTGCCAGTTAGGGCTGTGATTTAGTGCAATCTATTAATCACATGATATTAGGTCTCAAGAAGGTCTCAGATTTGTGAAAACCACTGTAGCCTGTGTACTTTTTGATGCTGACTGCTTATGTGCTGGGAAACAAGAAGACTGTTAACCTATAAGGGAAGTAGGTGCATGGGCTCGTTCCTGAGCTAAGTGACTTGCTCATGCTGGGCAACCCATAAAAAGTGTGATTCAAATGTAGGCCTTGGGGAAATTATGAATTATTTTGTGTGAAAGGTATTGGGATCAAATACTAAATCCAAGCCCAAAATACTAACTGGTTGTAAGACACAAGCCTAGTGTAATGTGGAATGTGACTCAGATATCTTTCAATACAGTCCTTGGGACACTTGTCCCAAGTTCCTAGAGGGAATAAATATGAAAGCCTGAGAGAAAAATGTACATGGTA